AGATACCAAATGCATAACGTGAGAAAATCTTTCAATTGTCAAGAGACGGTCTACTTTGTTGCTCTCTGGCGTACAGATTCTATTTATGTCGTTACGGGCCAAATCCACCAACATGATGTGTTCTGCTCTGTCCTTCAAACTCGATCTTAAAATTTCGGCATTTGCCTCATCTTCTTCGTTAGTTTTACCTCTCTTCACAGTTCCGGCAATTGGATGGGTCACAACCTTACCCTTTTCGTCCGCTTTCACAAGAAGCTCTGGAGATGCACCGATAATCTCAAAATCAATAAGATCTATGTAGAACAAATATGGTGATGGGTTCACAGTTCTTAAATGACGATATATGTTAAATGGGTGTAATGACGTAGGTCTAGCAACCCTTTGAGATGGAACCGCCTGAATAATGTCACCTTTTAAGATATGCTTTTTCAAGGTCGAAACGTGGCCTTCGTAACCTTCTTGACCTATATTTGATGTGAACGTTTGATTGGCCTTAATTGGAGGTTGTTTTGGGTTTATTTCTTCAGGTGTAAACTCGGATCTTAAAATCTTTTCCACATTATTAATATCTTCGGCAGCTTTATTGAAGCTTGCTTGTAAATCATTTGAATCAGTAACCGCCACATTATTGATGATCTGGAATCTATCATAAACACGATCGAATGCAACAATTAAATCACATAACATTAACACAGCTTCCGGTAACTGCAATACATCTTCTAATGGCTTGCGAGTCTTAGGTTCGAAGTATTTAATACAATCGTATGAAATGTACCCAACCGCACCACCACTAAATTTTGGCAATCCCGGTAATTGAATTTGATTATACTTTGCAAGTTCCTTTTCTAATACGGTAATTGGATCAACATTACAATGCACCTTAGGAAATAATCCTTCGTCTTCACCGGTTCTTATCACTTTCCTTGGATTGAGACCAATAAACGAGTATCTATCAACCGTATCACCGTTGACTGCCGACTCAAATAAAAATGATGGTGATCTCTTTGGGTCGTTCAATTTTGCTAATTTTAAATACGCTTTATGAACAGTCAAGTCATCTGCTGTAACGTATTTGTAAATTGGATACAAATTAGGCTTATTTTCATCATTTTGATGTGATTCAACAATTGAAGTCAATGCTTCAAGCGATGGTTGAATTTTAGACTATTATAGGTTAGTATCTTTTTTCAAAATTTCAGTATTTCTGATAAGGATCAAATTACTAATATAGTACTTACAAACATATCGTACGACCTTCTTAAATAGTTCCAGTTTAGCTCTAATGTAGTTGCATTAAATAGAATAAGTATTCATGAGTCAAGATGAAAAAAAAACTCACAATATTATATGCAGGTAGATCTACAGTACTAGAAGTATAGTCTGTTAATGTGTATAAGATATATTTACAGGTATATGCAGCTAATGGAGTAGTTGTGATTCTCTTAAAACGCAGTGTCCTCCAACAGGATCTAAGAACATAACTTTGTCACAGATAATTTGGTTTCCTATTGTTACTTCCCTATCAAGGGGAATCATTATGTCAATTTCGATATTCAATTGGGAACAATAACCTCTGGCGATCTTTTTGGACATCAGGGGAATTTCATAGCCGGCCCGAGTAATTATACAGTCATAAGTGACACTAGTTGTTCCTAGGTCCAGAGATGTCTCTTGTAGTAGTCTCTGCTCTAGCAATTTTAAGGTCCAGAAATGTTTATGTACCGTTCCTAAATGATCACACAACTTGTAGGAGTTTGATATTTTATGCAATTGATGGTTCAATGCGTCGTGTGACAATGGCCCATTTAGTTTATAGCCGTATCGTTTCAAATAACTGAACTGTCTTATAATGGCAGAGTGTTCGTTATCCTTAAAAAATGCTAGATTGTTCCCCTGGGAAAATTGTTGAACATGAGATAAGATTTGGAATTGGTTTAACAACACTTCGTAATCAGTAAAGACCCCAAACATCCTAACATATCCATCATTTATTCCTAATGGTAAGAAGCGCAAATTCTCATCTGCAAATACTTCTATGTTAGGCTTGGTTAAATAATTCAAACCACTCAAATATGCGCTCATCGATACATACCCAGACGAATCTCTTGCTATTAATGTTTGAAAGTATGAGTTCGCATGGTAATTGGGCAAAAACAAGTTATTATGAGAAATGTATGCTTCATCCTTCAAATCTGTGGTTTCCTGTTTCATAATCAACTCTGGATTCAGTTCATCATTTAAAGACTCAAGAATATCTTGATGATGGGTCAAAATAGGAATATCATGCATCACACAATATCTTGAGGTTATTTTTCCAACAAATTTATCGAGTTCATTGACGAAGAACTTCGCTTTCGACAATTCTAGTTGATCTTCAAGGGGTCTAGATTCAATTTTAGTAAGCATCTTTTCTTGGACTTCAAATTTGTTCACTATACTCAATTCCTTCAAAAGGTTGCTTGAATCGTTATTCTGGAATGCAATAGATGGATCAACATTTGAAGCACCGTCAAGATTTCTTACCTTGATATGGCTTTTCATTACGTTGAAGATAAAATTCATATTATGAATGTCATCATCGTCTAATTCAGCATCATTTTTATCTATGGAACGGCTCGCTCTTTCTTTAAACAATGTAAATGGGGAAACTTCTGTGATACCATTTAAGCATTTTTCAAGGGTGTTCCAATCAATATTTTTTATCAGCACTGAATTTAATGAATCAAAAGAGAAAGAAATCTTTTCTTCTAAATCCAGAAATGGATTCGATTCATACTTATTGTACACGAATGAAACAGTCATACATGTTACATTCTTATTTGATTTGTTGCCAGAACCATACTTATTGCCCCTCTGCGAAACATCGCCTACTGAAAACCAATCAGAAGTTTCCTGTAAATTATGATCTGGGAAACTTAACCTATCGATTAAATCTGAATCAAAAATGTTTACCTTCGAATCATTAATCAACTTGGTTAAACTCTTCATATTTAAGCTAGAAGATGCTATTTCATCAAATAAGTTACTGCTCGGCGAAAGCTTGGTAATCACGTCAGGTATATGAATATTTATCAAGTGCTTTCTAGAGTTTATTTTCTCTAGCGACACGGCTAGCAATGACAGCTTCTGTTTCGAATCAACAGACTTACCAAAGGGCAAACCGTAAACAACATGATCTTGGTAATAAACTTTGGATTTTCTTAAATGGGGAAATTTGTCAGTTATTTTCTGGTCCACGAAGTTACTCAGTTCCGCTTGGGTTGAATTTGGGCATAGATCATTGATTGACGATATTGATAACTGTGACAACAGTGACTTACCAATTATATTGGCCGAAAGATATATATCTGTCATCTGATGGCGTCTATTATTATAGATCTTTAAATCTTCAAGGAACTTATAAATCGTACTGGGGTCCATACTTTGATCCCCTAATATTGTCAATTTCTCTATTCTATCTCTTATTAATGAATGTGGATAGATTATAAAAAACTTCATGACGGTAATAATATTTATGAAGTATTTTCCCTCCCAGATATTAAAATAAACATTCAAATCATCAGATGACTTAGGATTCTGTGACGTCTGTTCTCCAAAAAGCGTAGTCAAAAATGCATTATATTTAGCCAAATATACTGGGTTTTCAAAATCGTCAAAAAGTTTTGAAAGCGATTCCATATTCGTGATGGAATTCACAAAATAATGAGAGCCTGAAGTTATCTCATTCGAACAGCCTTCTTTTACGAGATTAGTTAGCTTATTGGCTCCGTAACACGAGGATACTAGCCACATTTCTGGAGAGTTAATCATCCCTAAATGGCAACTTAGTAAAAATGCAGATTGGTTATAATACGAACTATTGATGTCAGATAAAAAGGGATCCAGTAATTTAAATGAATCATAAATATCAGGTAATGAGATGCTCTTCATTTGAAAGGGTGTTGCGTATTGTGAAAATACAATTGAAAACTGATTATTATTGGGATCTTGTAAACGTTGTAAACGATCGAGACTCTTCTTGAGAAATAGTTTCAAAATATCCGCTAGTAACAAACGGTTGCCAAAAGTAGAATCGTGCCTATTTTCAATGACTCGTAAGGTTTTAATCCAATGTGGATCAAGCACTTGGAAAAGATGAAAACTGGCATCTTGTGGGTATATCTTTTCGATCTTATTGTCCACTGTCAAAACCAACAACTTGTTATAGTTTTCGTTGAATTTTGTTTGCGATCCTTCAAGTACCACACCAAAAGTAACACATGAGGTACTTGGATCAATAATCTCTATAAAACTTCCTGTATTTGGAGGCATATTCTCATTAGTATTGACTATAGCTCTATAATTTGGTTTAGGAATATCTGAAATAAATTCATCAAGCTCACCAAACTTCCTATTCATAGACAAATCCTTCCTTCTGTAGTCATTATAGGCATTTATAAATGAAGGCTTACTTGTCATAAAATTTTTCAAACTTATTTGAAGATCGTCAATGCTAGAGTAATCATTATACTCATTAGATCTGTCATTAGCTGAGTCTTTATTTGGTTCGATAGTGCTTTCATTTGCACCAAATAGATTTGGAATCCCTAATTTGCTTCTATATGTACAAGGTGTAGTAATGCTTATGTATCTTTTTTGAATCTGTGATGATATTCGAATATAACTCAGTAAGTTCAATACCCTTATCTTTACATTGGGTCGTATGATTTTGATCATCATAAGATTTATGTTGCACCCATATATTCATTAAATATAATAAGGCTAGTACTGAAGAATTAATTCTGAAATATCTATCTCCCTGTTTGTTGGTATGGAAGAAAACTATGCCTTTTGCAATGATTTTATAATGATATATTCTTTTAAAAGATTTATTATGGTCCATAATTTTTTTTTCAGGAATGCGCTCATACAGTCTATAGAAGGATATATATATAAATAAAAATCATATTGATATTACATACTATACGACCAAGTACATCAAAAATTATCTAACATCGTAATCATATCCATCTTTGAACGATCACTGCATTCTTTAATTTAGCATCTTCAACAGTTAAATCATTGGATTCTTCTATAGGTTTGACTGGAAAAGCATGAGTCAAAATGAAGGATTTATCAGATTCGGTGAAAGGGTGAGTTCTCACAAAATCGTACACTTTCGTAATAGAGTCGGTCGAGTTGAACTTGTGTGAAGTTTTCTTACCATTTGCAAATCTAATTTGGACCAAAGAGTCACCTTCACCCTTATCCTCGGGTTTTGTTTCTTTTGTAGGCTCTGGTTGAGCCTCTGGAGCAGGAGATGCACCACACGATTCTCCTGGAACAGGCGAGCCTAATCTTTGACCTTCGCCGGCGAATCCTCCTACTTTTCTCTTGGGTGGAACCCAATCTTCATCTGTCTTCTTGAATACACTCACGTCAACGTCTTGGCCGAACTCCACGTCCAACAACGACATTGGGACCCTTCCAGCATTCAATTCCTGCAAAACACTGGCATTGCTTGGGTCGTCATATCTATGTAAGGCTCCTTTGCCTACCGTGAATCCCTGCTTCCAGAATGTAATCTCCCTGGTGACCTTGGTAGGCTTTTTGGGTAAACGATTACTCATGTCCGCAACCTGTTCAGATGGCTGATTCTCTCCACCCAATTTGAAGCCTGTTCCGGTGAACTTACGAACCTCGTCTGGTTGGTCATGATGTGCAGAAGAACGTTCATCTGGTTGGTCCATTTGTTCCTTTGCTCTTTGAAAAATCTGATCAATTATCGATTTCTCGCTCTTTTTATCATCCTTTTTATTTGGATCTTCCACTTGTAACGCTGATTTCTCTCCTCCTGTAAAGAAATTGGTATCTGTCTTATCCTCTTCATCGTCATCTTCGTTGTTATTCAAATCCCTAAATGTTCTGACCCCTCCTGATCTACAAAATAGTTAGTAACTTGCCCTAGTCTGCGGGTAATTATAAATGTATAGACATACGCTTTTGGCTGCGTTGGTTTCGTGTTATCGGCCCCTGAATTCTCGGTATTTGATGAGGTGGCATAGTAATCTTCAATTGCATTAATCAAATCATTTTCATTTCTTGCGAGGTATTGCTCGGCTAAACTCTTCGATGAATTGGTCACTGTAACAAATTGGTCGACCAATTGGTCTTGTTCTTGATTTGACATAGTATTTATAATAAAAATCTCTTAAAATAAAGTGTAATTAGTATCGTATGTGTTCTGATGGCGATTTTGAACTTCTAATTAAGTCCGCATCTTGATATCAAAATCTCACGCTTATGAAAAATTCACTACAGTACACTTTGTATAGTAAAATTAAAATATAATTTTATTTACATATATATAAACCGATGTTGAAATCCCAAATTTTAAACCCCATGATATAACAAGCAATGGCTGTTATATCCAATTAAAGCAAAAAAAGTAACAAGATAAAAAAAGATAAGTAACAAAAAATATAAACAAGTAATAATAAAAATCATAATTATCACAGAACAAACGATAATAACAACATGATCATAATATTAATGATAATTAATTACATTAATGTTGAATAAATGTAATCATAGGATACAGCATCAACAATGAAGAATTGAATAATGCAAAACCATCCATAATTGGGGTTTTATTAAGATATTAGAATACCTAATATTTACCACGGAAGTGCTTAGCAGCATCAACCATATTGGTTAATGAAGCCTTAGTTTCTTCCCAACCTCTGGTCTTTAAACCACAATCTGGGTTAACCCAGAACTTGTTGGCTGGGTAAACCTTCAAGATTTCTTCAATTCTTGAGATGAATTCTTCCTTGGATGGAATTCTTGGAGAGTGGATATCGAATAAACCTAAACCAATGTGGTTTGGATAGTTGGAGAATTCTTGGATGTAGTTAGCATCATCCTTCTTGGAGAACTCAATAGAAACAACATCTGCATCTAAAGCCTTGATGTGGTTTGGATCTAAGTCAGAGTAACAGAAGTGAGAGTGGATTTGAGTATCGTTTTCGACACCAGAAGTAGCAACTCTGAAAGATTGAGCAGCCCAGTTTAAGTAGTCGGATCTTTCCTTACCAGATCTCAATGGTAAACCTTCTCTGATAGCTGGTTCATCGACTTGAATGACGGTGATACCGGCCTTTTCTAAGTCTTGGACTTCATCTCTTAAAGCTAAACCTAATTGTAAGGCTTGAACCTTTTGAGAGACATCATCTCTTGGGAAAGACCATCTGAGACAGGTAACTGGACCAGTTAACATACCCTTCATTGGCTTCTTCGTGATAGATTGAGCGTAAACTGATTCCTTGACAGTCATGGCCTTTGGTCTGGAAACATCACCGACAACAATAGGTGGTCTGACGTACCTGGAACCGTAAGATTGAACCCAACCGCTAGTGGTGAAAGCGTAACCTTCTAATTGTTCACCGAAGTATTGAACCATATCGTTTCTTTCTGGTTCACCGTGGACTAAGACATCTAAACCGATTTCTTCTTGGAATCTGACAACAGTTTCAATTTCCTTGTTGATGAATTCTTCGTATTGTTCGGCGGTTAATTCACCCTTGGTGTACTTGTTTCTGTTGATTCTGATGTCCTTCGTTTGTGGGAAAGAACCGATAGTGGTGGTTGGGAACAATGGTAAGTTGTACTTGGTTTGTTGAGATGGTAATCTTTCAGCGAAAGGAACCTTTCTGGTAGATAAAGATTCGTTAACAGTAGCTAATCTTTCTTGAACCTTTGGATTGGTGGTGATAGAAGATTCTTGTCTGGACTTGATGGATTCAGCGTTAGCAGCTAATTCCTTGGAAACATCTTCACCGGAAGCGTTCTTAGCAAGAACAACAACTTCGTCCAACTTTTGGGTGGCGAAAGAGAACCAGTCCTTGATGGTGGCATCTAACTTCTTTTCGTTTTGTAAGTCGACTGGAGTGTGTAATAAGGAAGAAGAAGTGGAGACAACAACTCTGTCCTTACCAACCTTTTCGATAGCCTTAGCAACGAAAGCGGAAGCCTTGGAGTAATCAGTCTTCCAGATGTTTCTACCGTCAACAATACCAACGGATAAGGTTTGCTTGTCACCTAAAGCGGCAACAACTTCGTCAAGTTGTTCTGGAACTCTGGCGAAATCAAAGTGTAAACCAGAGACTGGTAAGTCCTTGATAGCAGACAAGTTTGGTCTGACATCACCGAAGTAGGTAGCTAAGACGATTTCTGGAACATCAGAACCGGCTAAAGCCTTGTAAGCATCAGCGTACTTAGCTTGGATTTCCTTTGGTAAGTCTAAGACTAAGATTGGTTCATCAATTTGAACTTCCTTAGCACCAGCTTCCTTCAACTTAGCTAATAATTGCTTGTAGACTGGTAAGAACTTGTCCAATAAAGAAAGTGGGTCTAAGTCTAAAGAGTCCTTGTCAGCCTTACCTAAGTAAAGGTAAGAGATTGGACCAACAATAACTGGTCTGGTTTCAATACCTAAAGCCTTAGCTTCCAAGTATTCATCAACTGGCTTTAAACCGGCTTCAGTGTTTAACTTGAATTCGGTGGAGTGCGAGAAGGTTGGTCTGACATAATGGTAGTTAGAATCGAACCACTTGACCATTTCCAAAGCAGTAACATCAACAGCTGGGGTTGAGTCGGTAGCCTTTCTTTGTAAACCTCTACCCATCGCGAATAAAACGTCAATTGGGGCCAATTCGAACTTGGTGTATCTGTCTGGGATAACATTGAATAACAAAGATAAATCCAAAACTTGATCGTAGTAAGAGAAATCGTTGGATGGAATAACATCAACACCGGCTTCCTTTTGCAACTTCCAGTTGTGGCTTCTCAATTCCTTACCCTTGGCTAATAAATCGTTGACACCAACCTTACCTTGCCAGTAAGATTCGGTGACCTTCTTCAATTCTCTTTGTCCACCGATACGTGGGAACCCTAAAACAGATGATTGAACCATTGTTAACTATGTTATAATTATGTTTTGTTTTAAATAAACCTAACAATATATAATTATTAAAAAATCCTTCAACAATTGCTGTGTGAAGCGGATTTATGTCCCTTTATATATGACTACTTACAGGTGTCCGTCGTTGAAAAATTAAATTTTTCAAAAATTGGCCCAGTTCACGTGATATCACATTGTTTGATCAACGTTTACACCAACCACGAACGATTACCATGTGAAAGACATGGGTAATGGGTGAGTCACGACGACATATAGGCGGTACGACATTTGTCCACCAAGGCAAACACAAACGAGGTTAAACGAGGACAAAGGGAACGAGAACGAGCGAGAGTAAGACTCGGTTGGCAGTGGGCCATATGGGCTAAGTGCCGGGATAAGTGCCCAGGACATAAATGGCCAGGTGTAATCAATCGAGTAGAAGTTGGTAAAATATTATTAATTAAAGCAATCTATAGACGAAGGGACTCGTGGCAGAGATAGAAAGAAGTAATGGAACTATTTATTGATTTTGGAATCGCCGAAGATTTTTCTTTGCTTGACGGCCTTTTTGACAGAGTCAGTGCAGTGCAAGAGACCGAATCTTCTGAACTGCTTGATGGTGTCAGCCAAGTCGACACCTTCCTTTTCGATGTAGCTAGCGAAGAAGGCACCCAATTGGGCCAAGTAGTCGTACGATAAGGTGAATTTGTCGTTTTCCTCGTCGCACAAGTCGGCCATGGTGCTCTTGGAGTCCATTGGGGTGTTGAATCCTTCACCTTCACCCAAGTATATCCCCAAGTTCTTCAAGGTGTCGAAGACACCTGCTTGGTGAGCTTGGATCATGCCACCGTGTTCCTTGATCTTGTAGTCTCTGTAGTATTCCTTATACTCATCTGGAGTGGCTCTTCTGGAACCGGTCCAGCCTAACTCGATCAATTGTTCCTTGGAGATATCAGTTGGGACCTTAGTGCCCGAAAACCTGTTCATACGAATTGGATTGAAAGTACCCAAGTGGAAAAGCAAAAAGATAACCAACACCTTGATGAGGTGGAAGACAAAGAATAAACACTGACCTATAATTCCAACAGGGTCCTCGATATCAACAATCAAAGCATGGGCCAATTTTTGTTGGCCAAAGTACGTGGCTAAATAACTAGCCCCACGAGTCATGTGGTTGGTCAAGCAAATACCAGGAGTTGGCGAAATGAAGTCGGGCAAATCGGTGTATAACCAGCATATCAACAACGTAATGAACGAGTAAAACGCAAACGAGTTGAACTCCCAAATTGGAAGAATTAATTGCCCTGGCCAGATCGTGTCAGCGATTTTATCGTCAAACGACACTTTCTTCAAGAATTTTTCCATCCCTGTTTCGTAACTGAACAACAACGAACCGTCTTCCGTCAAATACCCAGGGCTGGTTGAAACGTGAAATCCAATTGGTTTAGAGTGATGGAATACATTTGGTCTTAACGCAATTGGCAAGGAATTGAAAATTCCAAGCAAATCTCTATATCTTTTGTCAACCTTAATCTGGAAACAATAGTCCTTTTCCAAATCATCATTAAATCTGATATACGATTCTAAGTAGCCTGTGTCTTCTGATTCTGACACATCGTTTAATATCTTTTCATCTGACATTTTATAACCTCTAGAATGAATATGTTAGAAGAAAAGAAAACTTTTCATGGGGCCAAACGGACTATTTTTTCTTTAAATGCGTCGACAGAAGCGGAGGTGATTGACCCCATCGTATGTTACATAATACCGCCTAGCAAATTTTTTGGCCATTACGACTTTTCAAGAATTCTACAGCCGTGTAGCGGAGGCATCATGGTATCGTATGGGTGTAGAGATTGGTTGGCTTAAGGACTGATTATAGAGAGAAGCTGGTGAAAGTCTGTTTTATCTCCGTGGGGTCGATTTCGCCTACGTGGTGCGGTATGATTGGGAGCGTGCCTATGAAGGATTTGGTGGGTAGTTATATTCGAAGTAGAGGTGTCGTATAGCGCTAGTGTGTTAGTATGTGAGTATTATATATTATAGTGTGGTGCTAATGTGTGTTAATGTATTACGATTAGTGGTGATTGTGACAGAAGGGTGTAGAAGTATAAAGAAGCATTTTGCATCTCGGACACGGAACAATAAGAATCACAATGCAAAATTTGGTGCTAAGAGGATATGGTGGGGAGGATTTAATGGGGTAAGTAATTGATAGTAAAGCTGTTATGTGTGATCCGAAATGGACCCCGAGTGCAAACCAATATAATAGTATAATGGTGTTATTATGGTGCTCAAGGTATACCAGAGAATGATTTAGTACGGCTGTGGAATAATATTTAGACTAAAGTATAAAATTGAATAAACTTCGTAATGTAGCTAGAGTTGTTAATTTGATTTTGAAATCTGGATCATTTTTTTCAAAATTTGCAAATTTTTCAAAAAACTTAAACTCCCACCGACATCAATTGACCACATAATAATACTATATTTTCACGAAATATCTAAATTACAGCCCACCAGATTACGTCAACCGATTATATACCCAATATTCTATTTTTACTAAATATCTAATGGGTGGTTCAACATGTACATACTCATTAGAAATCCATTAGCGAATGCGCCTCCAATCGCACAACAATACATCGATGGCCGATAATGTAGATTGTACAGTTCTGATTAGTTCCCATCAAACACAACAATGCGAAATACGCGAATTGATATCGGGAATGGCACCTGTCGCCATCCTCCATCGATAATCTTGGCCAAAATGTCATCAAATAAAGAAATGCATGCAAAACTTTAATATAATTGCGGCAAAAATATCAGGTTTATCACTTTAGAATAAACAGCAAGTATACAGCCAGCCACTTTCATTTAGCCTACATTCCACACGCTTTCCAATTACATCATGCACCATAACCCACCTTCGAAACGTTCGTATCTACGAGTGTTTCTATTAAAAGTTTCTCAGTTCAATACTGCTGCGCAGTATACCGTTGCTACACGGCTACGCAGTCTCTACATGGACCCCAAGGCTCATCGAATGTCAGTCGCCCTTCTCCCCCGACCTAAACAAACGTCATGAAACGTTCAGCCATGTTCCACCCAATCTACGATTTCAATTCATATCTCAGTTCACGAGAAAATACCACGAAATACCCAAGCCCACTCATCTACGTATGCCATTGAAACATCGGACTACCACTTGAAACGGTGCGCTACTTGGTTTCAAGATATTGCCCTCGCAACATCCCTGCACCAATTGTCCGTTATCAATCTAATTTACTATCCTACGTCAATCATCTCATTGCATTATTATCAACCCTGTCCAATTACGTTCTGTACCCTAATTACGCCCATAGTTTGCCTTACGCGAGCAACTCTGCACCAAGAACACTGCGCTCGAACTCTCCTGACAATGCCAATACTCGCCGTGTGCATACCAGATACCACTTGGACATCCCTTCGAAGATTACACCCATACACCACATAGTCGCGACGTGCATACGAGCTTCGATCCGGCACCCAACCGGTGGCAGAAACCGAGCCGTCCACCTGTATTGTCAGGATGGGTTGACCGGTTAGCACCTGTAGTATCAGGCCTTGTACACCCCGTCGCCAGGCCCGTTCCTTCCCAGCCCGCTCGCTAATTTGGGCTCTATGGCTATGCTGTGTGGCCGTCGGCTGGATATTTTTAGTCAGAATACCATATCTATTTAGCTATTAACCAAGTATTAGGGAGTCAAAATGTTAGATATTCGATGACATGTACGATCGTACACACAATATGAGATGGGCATCAATTGGCTACACAAGGATCAAGATAAATAAGATGATCGACCTTGTTCATAATCAGTTATTATCCGGAATAATAAAACACGAATTGTGCGCTCGTGTTTACATAATAAAAAAATTTTTCACCCGAATTGGGTATTAATCAATTATGGTACTGCCTTAAGATATATGTAGGCGTAGGCTATTTATATTCTTATGGGACGGGATTCGATCGAGGAATAAATACTGGGACATTTCGTGAAAATCCATCATAAAATTTCCCACTAATATTAGGTTAAACCATTTGACTGAAATAATTATTCAATAATATGTTATTTAAGTCATTAATTTCTAGTGCCTTAATGGCCACCAGTGCATTGGTTTCGTCTGTTGTTGCAGAAGACTTGCCAGAAATCGAAGTTGTTGGTAACAAATTTTTCTACTCCAACAACGGATCCCAATTCTTCATGAAGGGTGTTGCCTACCAACAAAACACTGCCAACTCATCTGATGTTTCTTTTGTCGATCCTTTGGCCGATGCTGAAGCATGTAAGAGAGATATTCCATACTTGGAAGAGTTACAGACCAACGTTATCAGAGTGTACGCTTTGAATGTTTCATTAGACCACACCGAGTGTATGTCCATGTTACAAGATGCAGGTATTTATGTCATTGCAGATTTATCCCAACCAGATGAATCTATTAACAGAAAGAGTCCAGAATGGAATCTTGAATTATTCGACAGATACACCGGTGTTGTTGACTTGTTCCAAAACTATACCAACGTTTTAGGTTTCTTTGCTGGTAACGAAGTTACCAACGACAAGACCAACACTGATGCTTCCGCTTACGTCAAGGCTGCCGTCAGAGACACCAAGGCTTACATTAAAGCTCAAAACTACAGAACTATTCCAGTTGGTTACTCTGCTAACGATGACTCCGATATCAGAGATTCCTTAGCTGACTACTTTGCTTGTGGTAGCGAAGAAGAAAGAGCTGATTTCTTTGGTATTAACATGTACGAATGGTGTGGATCATCCAGTTTCAAGAAATCTGGTTATGAATCAATCACTAAGCAATACAAGAACTTGGGTATTCCAATCTTCTTCTCCGAATATGGTTGTAACGAAGTTTCTCCAAGAAAGTTCGAAGAAGTTGGAACTATTTACGGTGATGATATGACTGATGTCTGGTCTGGTGGTATTGTTTACATGTACTTCCAAGAAGAAAACGACTATGGTTTAGTTTCTGTCTCTGGTAGCAGTGTTTCCACCTTGAAAGATTTCTCTTACTTGAAAGCTGAATTAGCTTCGATTTCTCCATCTGCCGCTCAATCGTCTTCTATCGGATCTGCTTCCGTTACATCTTGTCCAACTTCTACCTCGAACTGGTCTGCTGCTACCAAATTGCCTCCAACTCCTGATAAGGAAGCTTGTGACTGTATGGCTGAATCTCTTACCTGTGTCGTTGGTTCTGATGTTGATTCCGATGATTATGAAGACTTATTCGATTACGTTTGCAGCAAGATTGACTGTGATGGTATAAATGGTAACGGTACCACTGGTGAATACGGTGCGTACTCTCCATGTTCTGACAAGCAAAAATTGAACTTTGTCTTAAACTTGTACTACGAAGAAAACGGCTCTGCTAAGTCCGACTGTGACTTCCTGGGTTCTGCTACTACTCAAAAAGCTAAAACTGCTTCATCTTGTTCTGCTTACTTGAAATCAGCTGGTTCTTCTGGTGTCGGAACTATTTCTGGTTCCATTCAAACTACCAAACACACAGGTATCACCAAGACTTCTAGTGGTTCTTCCAAATCAACTTCAGGTTCAGGTTCAGGTTCAGGTTCTGATTCTAGTTCCAGCTCAACCAGTACTGGTTCATCTAGTGGTTCCCATCAAATCTCATTAGGATTAGCTACTAAGAGCTTATTAGTAGGTGCTGTTTCCATCTTTGGCTTCGGTTTAATTTTCGCCTAAACCAAATAATTTATAGATAAGATCATGAATTATTATAAATTGCTTTTAAAGTGTCTAACTGTATACTGTATTCAAATTAATGTATAAGCTATTGTATATACTATGTGTGATGTATTCTAGTGTAATCTACAAGTAGGCAAAATACTTCGAATTCATTCACTTGAATTTTGAATATGCGTTTGTATATTTTGGGTATGCTACTTAACTAATCCTCATTATCGATCACCATTTTTCTAATCTCCCAAAAATAATTATGATTGAAATCACTATTAATTAAATCGTAGTTTTCCAGTTGAAACCAGTAATTGATTTTCTTCAGCAACTTTATTTCTTCCTTGTGGAATTTTTCTATTACCCTTGGAGGTATTTCAAATTCATTACTATTTGGACTATTTGATGCAATTGAATTGGTAGATCCAGTTCTCTGTGTAAAGGCACTAACTCCTCGTCCAACATTTTTTGTAGGTGAGTTTGAAACAGATCGTTTATTAATTTGCAAATCTGGTAAATCTGGTAATCCTTGAAACACATTGTCTTCATCCTTATTCAAGTTTATCCATTTTAGCTGATCTGGGTCATAAATCATATTTCCCTGTATCTTCTTGTCTTTCATGTTATTCTTGAATTCATTGAAGGATATTAGCAGTGGTTTAGGTATGTTCAAATTCTCAAATTTGACTAACTCTATATCATTCCCTTCCCACTTTTTGTTAACTGGGTTGTACTTCATTTTGCTGTTATTATTAGGTTGAGGTATTGGATTATCGTTTAAATATCTTACCAAGCCAATTCGTTTATTTTTTCCATTTGGATGCTTCATGGATAGGTTTTTTTTGCGATGCTTATTATTTAAACGGTTTTGCTTCTCCGTTATCTCCATGTATTTGTTTAGTAATTGTTGTTTTTCCAATTCAATATCATGATTTAGCTTCGAATTATTTGATTTCATTGCATCATTCTTATTATAGAAAGAAGGGATTCGATCTAATTTTCGTATAATCTTGTTATTGTTATTAAATACCGGGTGTTGGGTCTCAAATTCATTAACTAAATCCATAGTTGACTTATACTTTTTTGCTTTTGACAAATTATTCTTGTTATTGAAATTGGGCATGGAACTCTTCATGCTAACAGTCTTACTACCGCGAGCATATTGCTTTAGTTTATCAACATCTAATTTTATGGGAACATCAGTGTCAAAACCATCTTCAAAATTTTCAAAATCATCTTTGGTATATTCATAATCAACGGTTTTTTCATTCTCTAATGCATCGGTATCTATAGGGTTATGGCCATATAATGTGAAATCTTTCAATTTCAATGTGTTGGTTTCATCATTTGCAAGTCTTTTGTATTTCGTAAATAACTCTCTTTCTTCAATTTCTGCATCATTTTGCAATTTCTGTTGTTTCATCAATAAATGTCTATTGGCTTTGCTGGTATTTCCATTGCCCCCACTGCTATATATTCCACTTTCCTCATTTCCGAATATATCATCTACATCATTAATATTATCAAAATCATCGTCATTAAATTGTGAGGTTACATCAGTATCATTAGTATCTTCACTATATTCAGATAACGATTTACTCCTCATTCTTGGCTTTGGCGATGAAGTAGATATAGTCCCGGGTGATAATTTTAATTCGTCATCATCCGGTTCATTTAAAGTTGTTCTATGGTTTAACTGCAAGTTATCACGGACAAAATCTTCGTCTTCAAAACCTAGATTATCGGAATCTTCTTCTTGGAATTGATGAATTCTATTATTAATATTATTACTATCGGTTGAAATATGATCCTTCTTTAATCTTAACGTTTCCAATTCATTAGGACTAATCTTCAAAGTTTTAAATTCATCATCAATAGGCAAATTTTCAAATGCGTCCCTTTCGAATATATCTTCTTCTTCATTATTGTCTTCGTTGTCTTGGAATCGAGCTAATAAGTCACTTTTGCTGGAAAATCTCCCTGCTCTGTTAGTTGTGGGAGTTATGTTCAATCCCGATCTGAACGATGATGGCTTTCTTGAAATAGGCTTGGGATCTCGATTGATAGAATTCATCTACACGTTACTATATAGGCTCATATGCCTTTAATTATTAATTGATAAGGTATTTATTTGGATCAACACTTCTGTTGATTCTTGATCTATTTTGTAAACACCTACTTAAAGTTCCAACAAGTCACGTGCGTTAATTTCACTGGTTTGGTTTAGCTTTTAGCACAGTTCTAGGAGCGTTATCACCAGTATCATTATTATTTTGATGGTTGGGTTGAATAATCTCTGCGATGAATGAAGGTAGTTGTCTTCTAAGGTTGGGTATATAGCTTTCAGCGAGAACCGGCGCCAAGATCAATGCAATAAAACATAGCATTAATGTGAAAAATAGGACGCTATATTTTAAGATTTTTAGCTTTCTTTTCCTTCGTTGCCTTTGGGATAGGATAGGTTCTCTGAATTGCTTTGTAGGTTTGAACCAAAATAGCATACTTGAATGCCATTTATCTATAAAGGGAATTAATAATACGGGGCCCATGACAAATAGGAGACAATGTGCTAAAATAAAATCATAGGCATATAGATTCATTTCACATATTTTGACAATAAACTCTCGTAAGGGTTGGGTTATGACGAGCCAACCTAATCCACTAGTTATCCATTTTCCTGACCACCACGCCCGGTTACTATAATCATCTTTTAATTCACGGGATAGACAAATTGACATTGTGAATTGTAATATTGTCTTTTGAATTGCAATCATACAAATAAACCCGCATAAAGTTCTCGTAAAATTTAACCCTTCTAGATACAAGAATACTTCAAAATTGACTAGATTTATTAACACCGACAGCAAATGAGCGAAGCTAGCGATAAAGCTTGGTACCCTTGTACAGCAACATGATAGAATAGGCCCCAAAGTGCACGAGAAAACAAATAGAAGTAAAGTTGTCAAAATACTAAAGATTATTGGAATTAAGCATAGTATAATGATCCTGAATAATGGGTTCACCCGACTAGGATTGGAAACACCATTTTGTGCGTTAATGAACATATAAGGAACCAAGTAGCAAACTATGCAAATAAATGGTATGAAGAATTGGTCGATGAAACTATTCCATCTTGAAGGCCTTCTTGATGCATCGTTTATTCTTTGACCAACTTCTCCTAGAGCATTTTTTTTATAGCCTGTATACTTGGCTCTATGAGACCTGATAAAACCAATCCATGAATTCCTATGCCAACTAGAGTTACCCCTTGAAAGCCATCTTAAAAATTCCCTGTAATCAATGAAAAAGTCACCCCACGAAAATTGATGAGGATTAAAGATAAAAGGTGCAAGGCACATAGAAACAAAAGTTATGCAAAACCATAGCAAGGAAGGCTGCCACATGGATAAGGATGCAAATATAACAATCAAAAATACCGTTGATCCTGAATAAATAGATGTCGAGGCATATCTACTGTACAATGTATTAAACGATATTCGAGAAGTAGCAAAACCTCTCCCAGTAGCAACATATTTAGCGCCTCCAAATGTTATATTATCTTTCAACGACTTTGCATAAATCTGACATACAAAAACTTCAAAAAATGGTGCCAATGAAACAAAATGATGGAATATTCTATATATTGCTTTAATGAACCCTTTTTCAATCAATTCCTGAAAAATTAACGGTATGAATGAAATGAAAAAGCAGATGAATACAGAAAGAACAAATCTCGATACCCAATTTAAAACGGGTTGCAAATTATAACATCCCAATGGCATCTGTAAGTCAGTAAATGGAATATTCAGGTCGTACATACAAACCACTGATTCATGCTTTAAGGATCCAAGATTAACCAAAACCAACATAAATAAATGTACCGATAACATAATGAAAAGATTGTTAATATGAAATCCAGCGTGAGCATAATAGAAAGACAAGAATCTATCAATTGGGAGCTGAGTACCTAGGTAATAATATTCTCGAGACAATATTTGTTCGCCCATACCAGCTCCTATTTTTGTAGTAAAGTTCAATATAGTACCGAAGCCAAGGTCTCGACCTTTCCCACATTGATAATAATCGCAATGCTTAATTCTACCCCCACGACAGACAGCTGTCATACCAGCATAAATATCCTCATTTAAATGTAACCCTTTTTGAGCTTTAGAGACTCCTCCTCTTGTTGTCATGAATATCCCGTTCAAAAAGTCAGGATGCCCATAATGCAATTTCCCACCGATTTCGGCTAAAGTACGTGCAAATAATGTACCAAATGTTTGCTCCTTTCCGGCTGCTATATCACCTAGCACTCCTATATTCTCAGAAAATATATATTCCCTAGCACCCAAAATGGCTACTGGATCTTTGAGATTTTCCAGAAAGATTCCAGGAACATATTCAGACGAAGGATCCATATCTATTTCTTCAAACTCAGCTAATACAGACTTAATTTTAAGACATTCTTCAAGGTAATTATCTTGGTTTGCGTCAATGACTTGGATATATTCACCTCGATAAAAAATGATACAATTATTTTGATTGTCAGACTTTCCATCGCCTAATATTGGATTTCCCGAAAGTTTAATCCGGTATTTCTTTTTATAGTTGCCATATGAATCCTTTTCAGATACATTAAGCAAAGTAGAGTAATAAGTTGTCTGGTCACCGTTAACTTCTTCTTCCAAATAAGAGATTTGAATTTGAGGATAGATACCAAATAATAAGTCAGCATCATTAATTTCATCTTCACGAAACTTTTGAAACCTTTGCATTGAAATCAACAACTTGAATTTTCTTTGTACAAAGTCATTAAGTTCGGTATCAACATCAAAATAACTATTTGAATCCAAATCGTAATTTTCAAGTTTGTATAATAGCTTGATAGCCTTTTCATAATTCATGAAACCAGATATGGTTCTAAATAAGGTTTGACATCTTAATGACGACCATATTCTTGTTCTCAAAGTATACTCAGGAGAAGAGTCCTTAAATCCAACACAATAATATGGCAAGTCGCTAATTTGGTTATTCACAAGATCTGATTCATGTTTACGACTGAGCAGTTGTTCGCTTATGGAAAAATCTGCTTCGCCTAAATCCAATGGCTGCGAAGAAACTAAAGATAGGATTTTCGTGTCTTCAACAAATAATTCCCAATCAGTCGAATGCAACAGTTTCAAATATTCGAGCAACGAAACTTTTGAATGCTTATCTTCTTTAATTATTTCCCTCAAGCTTAGGATAATTTTCTCAGAGTAATGAGGTATCAAAACTGTAAATGCTGGAATTGCTAAAATAGGAAACGGTTCTGGTAATGGACTAGATAAAGATTGGGCGAAGAATGAAATTCTCCTTTCAGCTTCTTTACTTGCAGTGAAAAAATCATGTAAATTTAATGAATTATCATCCTGCAATATAAAAAACAAAGGGGACCTTAGAAACGTCTTATCCATACTTTCCTCATTGGATACATTAATTTGTTGATAAACTAATTTATTAACTTGATCAATAGAAAGCAAATGTTCTCGGTACATTGAAAGAATAATACTATTCCAGATTTGGGAAATTAATAATGTGGAATCAATTTTTGAAGTCCCGTTTAAATATATAATCTTGCTGAAAATTCTTTCAGGTAATCTTGAAAAGATATTCCTCCATGGGGTGAAGATTGAAATTCCCAATGAAAATGAGAGTCCGATTGAAAATATGCAATTGCAAATGATGTACCATAGATAAGTATCTAGGAAAAACAAAACCAAGTCTGTAACATATAGCAATATTAAGGTGAATCTAGCTTGTTGTTTGCAAAGTAAATTACCAAGAAAAATGTCTCCTTTACATCTTGTCATTTCCATTATAGAGAGAACCCGAATTGGGTCTCTCAAAGATAATGTAAGGAAGAAGTATGATTCTGAAAATTTTGCAAGGAATACACACACCCATAGTAGGTATGAATATACTTGATTCCTCAAGTGTAATTTAGGAAATGATGATGTGAAAATTTCAGTCTTGATAATATTTGAATTTTTCTTTAAAAAGAAATTGAAAAGCCTATTAGGAGACTCAATTGCAAAATAAAGAAATGTGATAATAGATATAACAAACTGTATTATCCCAACAATATGACCTATTTTTGAATATTTATCGATTGGTAGAAAAAAGAAGATGTAAACTGAGGGACCTGCATTGATGATGGTTATTAACACAAGGAGCACTAACTTGAAAAACAAATGTTGAGCCCCAGGCCATTTCCTAGGAACAAATAACCACTCGATCAAAGTTGCCAACATAGTAAGTAAACAAGCAACTGTCCCGCCTAACGCTACTGCCGACCATTGAACTTGTGGAGCTGGCTTGTTATCGAGGAGTTGAACATAATTCTTGGTGTAGATTGTTGGAGAATTGAAGCATGTATAGTACCAAAACATGGTAACATGGATGACCCATACTCTGCTAAAATTGGTGAACAAATGGAGCCAAGTTCTGCGTTCACAGTATGTCTTGTAAAACAATTTCTTCCATTTAATAGATTTAAACTTGGTATATCTTTGATTTCGGGGGTACTCGTATAACAAAGATTTGTCCAATAGCATTATCTTTTCGAGATTGCCCCGGTACCAGAAGAATTGATTCACGTCGTCGTAACCTATGATATCACTGTGATCTTTTTCTGATTTCCTCCACATATTGTTCACAAGCTCATACTGTTGATCTCTTATATAAGAATAAATGGGTGTAACAACAGTATCAAGAAATTCGAACTCCTTGGCCTTGGTGTCCAATTCCGCAGATTCAAAATAATCAAATGCACACTTATAGATAAAACAAATGCATTCGGGCATAAACCGTAAGTTATTTGCCTCTCCCCATATGAGTAGATATAAGGCAATCTGATAGATATAGTCTTTATCGGTATAGTTTCTCATCCTCAGCCGCCAGTTGTATTCCATAGCTAATAAGCAGTTTGTGTCCTGTATGTCATTGAGGTTATAAGGGGTATTCAGTCTTGCCTTGAACTTTGCAAAATCCTTAAACCATCTCCATTGCTTGTTACTCACTTTAATATTTTCATCCAACTCAAAATGCGCTGCAAAATACCACTTCTTATAGTTAGCATGCTCGCCCCCAATGTAATCGGCATGCAACGATAGTAGTGCCAATTTGCATGACATTCTACTAGATCTCGAGTCAAGCAGTGTCATGAAAAGGTCGTATATATTACTCTGACTATCACGCTGGAACCCAAACATATTTCCAAGCGTCAAAAATATCTGCCAGATCTCGTCCTTGTTAATGGGTGCTCCGTTCTGGATACACCAAGAAGGATACGGCGTCGCTTCTTCCTTGACCCCATTAAAATATGTGCTACCTTCTATATCACTAACTTCAGATACCATACCATTATCTACCTCTCCGTCCACATATTCAACCATTCCACCGTTTCCCACCCCGTTCATTCCTGTTTCCCCTTCTAATGCGTCGTAGATCCCTCTCCCCATACTTTGGTAAATCGAGAACTCACGATACGCATCCGCCGACGTTTTACTATGCATATCTACGACAATGATTTGTTAATCTGTATCTATAGAACTCCTAATGACGTTGGCGATAAAGAAACGCTCTTATAGTTATTTCTACCGCTATGGATGGTTGCAAATTCTGTCATTTTATACGGGCAAATTCGTGTGCTAACCAAACAGTTCACGCCTTGACCAAAAAAATGCCTTCAGCCAGATTCGAACTGACGATCTCCTCATTACTAGTGAGGTGCCTTACCAACTTGGCCATAAAGGCATAACTGCAAACTTTTCTGCACATAGTATATACCACCAGTCTAATAGTTATGAATTTATCTTATCATATCGCAGAAGTGGAAGAATATCCAGTTTTCAGAACCCATATTATCTATAAACATGCATGTTGATACTATTTCATTCGTCATAATTATTAATCTCTTGTATATTGCAATACCTGAATGAATTAAGGATGAACTATAGGAGAACGATTATCATGATTTACCCTTGGTGGAAAGTAATTATAATGAATTGTGGAATTTTAATAGAAGAATTATTTGGAGTACTCTTGGTTTAAAGCATATAAATTACATTAACATCATAATCTGCGTTATATAGACTCTGTTGTATTCTATATTCTATTACATAGCATAGAAATCTTCTGTGACCCAATCACGCTCTTCGCACCATATCGCCACAAAATCACCAAATTTTTAATTACACAAATTCTCAGGGATTTTAATAACAACTGGTGTTTAAGTCTTTATTTGTTTTTCAAGTATACAGTGTAAATCGAAAACATAGCACAAAATTGAAATTTAATACCAACAAGATTTAGATTTCAATTATTTACATTAATTAAGGGATTGAAACGGCTATTAAGACATATTATTGGATTGATTGTTGAGTAATCGGATTAGGATTATTATTGAAAACGAAACGTGCTGTGTTGGTCATTTTAAGTGGACACAACCCAGAGATATAATATATTTTGCAAGCTAAGCGATAACACAGATTCGGTAATTGGATAGAGCAGACGGTACGTAAAATGATGACATTGCCAAACGACGAACCAACGATTTCGCCCGACGATGCTGCCACTGCGGCAGCAGTGGCAGCAGCCAGCACGGCAGCAGCAGCGGTAGCAGCGATTCCCCAATTGAAGGACGATGACCACCTGCTTCACCACCAGTTTGTGCAGCAGCACCACCAGCAGCTTCAGGAACAGCATGCACATCAACAGCATGCGCTCCAGCAACACCATCAGCACCATCAACACCACCAACACCACCAACATCCCCACGAGCATGATCACGACCAGTTGAACTCGCAGCTCAACCATCAGTTGCAACAGCATAACTTGGCACACCACCAGTTGAACCACACGCCACACCATCATCTTGAGATGTTGGCTCAGGCCAACGAGGAGGATTTTCTCGACGCCACCAACAGGAAGGTGGCCCCAAGATCGAGTGATTTGTTCAAGGTGGGTCCGCAGTTCAGCGAAACAAGACACCACCAAGACATTTACTGTAAGAGAAATGACATGGACGTGAATCCTATTTTAGAAGCCAGAATTGATAGAGGGTTCGAGGTGGGTGAAAACGGTACTTGGATTGGTTATAAGAGAAACTATTTCACCTTGGTAGCTTCGTTTTCGTTAGAGAACTTCAACTTTGATCGTTTTATTCAGAATAAGTTCTACACATACGAAAAGTCTTCCAAAAACGGCGAATCGGTTGGCGAAAATAAGGTTGAAATCAGCTATTTTGCCATTAGATTGGTTGCCAAATGCTCTGACGACGATGTTGCTATCAGTCTTGTTCAACACACCGCCAAGAGAGACAAGGGACCTCAATTCCCTCCACCAATCTACCCAGCCGTTCCTGGTGACTTGCCTGACCATGAAACAGTCAGGGCCTCGTGTAACAAGCGTAACGGTAATAAGATTGAAAATATGAATAAGGTATTCTACTTTGATAGAGCCGAGTATTATCACAATACCAATTTGGACACTTTGAAAGATGACTCCGTCTTGAAAAACTACCCAAGTGATTCGATTGCTAGAGTGGCCAGATTCGAAAGAATCCAGTTCACCTCTTCTATCAGATTGAAATCTACTTCGGTCAATTCAAGATACTTTACCTTACATGTGGAGTTGCTCGGAATCATCGAGAACGAGGATTGTCAAATCCAACCAATCTTATTATCGTCTATTGAAACACCTCCTTTGATTATAAGAGGAAGATCTCCATCAAACTATCACAAGGATAGAACTTCGGGTTACAGAGGTCATATTTAACAACCATAAGCTGTTCCCATAATTGCCAGTAATAAGGAAAAAGCTAAAAAATGATAAGATTTCCGTGGTGTACTTTTAGTTGTTTGTATTTTAGGTTAATATATATTTAGGTATCAATTTGCTTTTTATTGTTAATAATATTCTCATGGAATGTCTGATATATCTGAATTGTCACCACAAAATGTAGTATTCGAGATACATTTATGTATACCAAAGTTTTTGTATTTCAGTATCTCAGAAAGTGGTGTAGGTCATTAGAGCCGGTCACATTCGCACTGAAAAAATCATCAACACAATGTTAGCTCGCTACTATTTTTTTCCGACCCCATATTTTAAATGATCTTCTAGTTTTTATCTTATTACATTATACTTGTTATTAGTTGTATCAGCTCATTAGACTATAAAGCTGACTGTGACATTTCCTTCATTCGTAATTTTTATTTCCGGTTGAATCCTAGGGACTTAGCTACATTAAAATTGAACTTACAAAAACTATCGAAATATAAATAGAACATAATATAAACGTCGGAAAAAGATATAATACATTGGATTAAGAATAATGATACCGACAACTAATAGAAATAAGCTAAATATGAATTGCAACGAGGAGTCGACTCCATTTGAGCCAGTTCGAGTGATTGATAAGCAGTCGTTGGATTATGTATTGAGGTCTGGGGTTTCGGGTGGTATAGCTGGAAGTGCAGCTAAAACTCTAATTGCCCCATTGGATAGAGTAAAGATTCTCTTTCAAACGTCAAACCCAGAATTTTTAAAGTATAGAGGCAAATTTTCAGGGCTTTTTCGTGCCAGTAAGCGAATCTGGTCCAACGATGGGATTTATGGGTTATTTCAAGGTCATTCGGTTACTTTGTTAAGAATCTTCCCCTATGCATCTATTAAATTTGTTGCTTATGAGCAAATCAGGACTATTTTGATCCCAACGGATTTACACGAAACTGCAATTAGAAGATTTATGGCTGGTTCATTATCTGGTTTAGCAAGCGTTTTCTTTACGTATCCCTTGGATTTACTTAGAGTTAGAATGGCATTCGAAACTAAGCATTTACACAACGATAACATAAGGCGTAGTAGTCGTCAACACTTTATAGCGCAGCATCAGGGGCGATTAAGTACAACCGTTCGAGAAATATTGAATGAACGTCCACCCCATAGAGTAAATGACCCTGCATGGTTCAAACTCATGAGACAAAATTTGCCTCCGTCAGTAATGTCATTATCAAACTTTTACAGAGGCTTTGCCCCAACTATTTTGGGAATGATTCCCTACGCAGGGGTATCATTCTATACGCACGATTTGATCCATGATATCTTGAGGTCCAAATACTTATCGAAGTACACTGTTCAGTCAGCAGGTGCTCTATCCCACTCGATTTCCACTTCATCTTCAAGCAATAGAGTTATTAGAAAATCTTCGAGCAATAAAGATCAAATAAATTCAAGAGATTCTAGATTACCTTTGAAAGCATATGCGCAATTACTAGCAGGTGGACTTGCCGGTATGTGTTCACAAACTGCAGCATATCCATTTGAAGTTATAAGAAGAAGAATGCAAGTGGGTGGTGCGGTAAATCAAGGGCAACATTTATCATTCAAATCCACGGCAAAATTAATTTATAGAGAAAGTGGATTTAGAGGCTTTTTTGTTGGTTTAAGTATTGGCTACATGAAAGTCATCCCAATGGTTGCATGTTCATTTTACGTTTACGAAAGATGTAAAATGTTTTTCGGAATATGATCAAATGAAATTCTTATCACATATATTACTTCACTAGATACATAGATCCACACTTAGTGTGTTGTATTTATATATTTATTTATTTATTCATTTATTTATTTCATTTATGTATTTGAATATTCGTTAGTTTATTTATTCATCTAGTTTATGTATTTATTCATTTATTGATTTTACCTTATTCATTTATTTATTTGAAAGTATACCTTTCAATATGTACAAGAAAGCCTTAATCTAAAAGAACCAGCTGAACCACTTTTTCTTACCGTTAGGTCTGGTGCCAAATTTTTGGCTTGACGCAGTAATATCCTTGAAAGTACCTTTGGCGATAGAAGCAGTTGTGGATAACTTATCACTTCCAATTTTGAATCCCCAATTTCTCAACCCCTTTACAATACCAGGCGTAATAGCAGCAGTAATTGGCAATCTAATAAAAATCAATGACTTGTGGATACCGTATGCAATTGCAAACTCTGTCCATGAAAACTGTGACAAAAGCATAGTGAAAAAACTGCCATTTTCATTCACTTCTTCAGAATTACTTTGTTCATTCATTTCTTCTATCTTATTTATCTCGAACTTCTTCTGTAATTCTTCATCCGAAACCCCGTAACCAAAAGTTTGTTTTACTTTGTTCTCATAGTACTCGATTTGGTCTTTACCCATGGAATGAACCATAACATAACATATTGGTAAATCAATAAACGAAAGTGCTAAATAAACTCCTAAACCAGCATAACCATATTCTTTCATTAAATGTTTAAGGCTCTTTGGTTTGTTTGGTACTTGTGGAGGTGGCGTTGGTTTGCCCGATTTCAAAGTCGATTGAAATCTCTTGAAAAATTGATTCTTTGGAATTTGTCTAGTGACAATTTGTCCCGGTGATCTAGAAAATAAGGGTTTTACCTGTATCTGTATTCTACTTAATAGGTTGATTCTGGACATTTTGTATGGATGTTCTATATATTTATCAGCTTTATCGTATAAATTTCCATTTTTTCTACACTTGCGAATCGAAATTTCTAAGGCTTACAAAATTTATATGCACAAATATACTGTTATTCCTACTATATACAACTAATTAACGGAATTGAGAATAGAAGCGTTCTTCAGAGAACCTCTGTTCTACTCTGTCAAGTATTTCCTTTGTATAAACTTCTGTCAATTGTTCACCACCTTTTAAGACCCTATCTTCGTGCAACTTCTGCTCTTCTTTTGT